GGAGGAGCTGAAGGGCCTTCCCCCGGGCAGGCGGCCCCGGACCAGACCGGCCGTTGCCCTGCTCAACTCTCCGCAGGTCCAGCCGGTCTCCCCTGCTGCTAGCAAGGGCATCGCCTGCCCTTTTCTGCTTAGGACAGGGTATCGTGTCCTAAATTTATTGCTTATGAATACCTGCTGACCAGGGCTCTTAAAGGCCAGCTGCGATCCGAGCATGTGTTTTGGGATGGCCTTAGGAGGCCAGTGTGCTGGCGAGCTCCCTGTGCTCGCCTCCCGCAGGTCCAGCCGGTCTCCCCTGCTGCTAGCAAGGGCATCGCCTGCCCTTTTCTGCTTAGGACAGGGTATCGTGTCCTAAATTTATTGCTTATGAATACCTGCTGACCAGGGCTCTTAAAGGCCAGCTGCGATCCGAGCATGTGTTTTGGGATGGCCTTAGGAGGCCAGTGTGCTGGCGAGCTCCCTGTGCTCGCCTCTCGGATCAGCTCTCCCGGTGGCGGTCCGGGGCGCCGGTGCTGTGCCAGCCTTGCGAGCAGGGCTCGAGCCGTGCCGTTGTGTGCCAGGGAGCAGGGATGCAGCCATCTGCTTTCAGCTGAGGCGATGCTTTGTCCTTTGCAGATCTTTGAACCCCAACTGAGTCATCACCAACTTGGTTCGAGATGCCACCGGCCATCGGAGGCCCCGTGGGATACACTCCTCCTGAAGGAGGATGGGGATGGGCCGTGGTCATCGGAGCCTTCATCTCCATTGGGTTTTCCTATGCTTTCCCCAAATCCATCACTGTGTTCTTCAAAGAGATTGAGGTAATCTTCAACGCATCCAGCAGCAAAGTCTCATGGATCTCCTCCATCATGCTGGCTGTTATGTACGCAGGAGGTAAGTGGACTGGGGGCACCAGTACACGTGCTTGTGCGTTGCAGCACAGGATGTGGCTCTTCTGCTGGGCCCGATGATTCGCGCCTTGCTGTAGTGACGACAACCAAAACTTGGCTAAAAGCTGGAATTCTCTCCTTACATGAGAGCAAAACTTCCCTCAGAGTTTGCTTGAAGGAGGTTGCTCAAAAAGTTCTATTTAATGCCCAGAATGCAAAAACCGGGTTAATCTGTCCTCTGCAAAGCTGTAAGTAATATCTTTCCGGGGAATTACGACTTGTGTAATTCTGCCCTTGTCCTTGTTACGGTGTGCTGCGGACGCTGTGTCTGCTTCCAGCGCCTGCCTGAAGGCCGGGGGAGCTGCTGTGCCACGCGTAGGAGCCCCGCTCACGGGGTCTCTTTTGTGTAGATAAGACATGGATTTTTTTTTAAGTTTCTTTTAATCCAGCAAACAGTGGCTGTATCTAGGGATCTGTGCCCAGTTTCTTGTTAGCTCTGATGGCTTGGCTATGCTCTGGGGTGCACTGAAACCTGGTGCTGCATGTTCTTCCTCCCTGGTGCTGAGCCGTAGGCAGCGTGTGCTGTTTGAGGGTGGCAGTGTGCGCTGGAAATGGAGAGACATGAGCAGAATAAAGCGAAACTACTTAAAACTGAAGCAGCTCCCCTCCCTTGTCCTTCATAAACTGCTTCTTGAAGTCTTTTAATCCCCAAGCTGTGTGCTTTATGCTTGTCCAGCCGGTGAGGAGCAGGCAGAGCACTGCCAGCCCTTGCCTTGCCAGTCCCAAACCCCATGTCTTGTACCCACCTGCAAACGCAGCTTTGCACTGGGTCACTTGGCTGAAAGAAACTCTTATTGGGAGCCTGCTCTTGTGTCCACTCCAGAGGCGAATCGGAGCTTGTCCGGCGGCCGTCCCCGGCTGGCGAGCTGCCCGCGGCCCCGCTGCATGTGTGCATCGAAAGGACCTGACGTCAGCGCCGGCTGAGCACGAGGCTTTTCCTTCGGGGGAACAGGCTCTGCTTTGTCCTCGCTCAGCTAGCGAAGCGACCAGCACATTTCCCTGCTCTGATGTTATAACAAGCTTGTAAACTGTGTAACTGCCTTAATGAGACTCAATCTGGGCCATTCCTTCTCTCCTAATGGCTCAGAGCCGGTTCCTCTGGGGGCAGCGCTGCCTGGCAGCTGGGGTGGGAGCTCCTTCCTCCAGTCCTGGGGTCGTCCCCCTGTCCCCCTCCCTCAATGCTGACACTGTCCTTCCCACTCCCCTTGAACTGGTGCCACAAAACCCCAGTAGCTCACTGGTCTTGAGCTGCTTGCCTGTAAGCTGCTGGCAGGGATGCTGAAGGTACCCCAGACCTGTCCAGGTGCATCCCCTGGCTGCCGGAGCCCGGGAACATGCTGCTGCCCCACTTGCTCGTTGCAGGGCTCCTGCAGCCTGAGCCCAGGCCCTTTGCAGGTCTGAATTGGGCTGGAGCGGTCGCTGTGTGCATCCCATTCTGCCTGTCCCCCAGGGCACTTTCCTGCAGGAACTGCGCGCTAGCTTGGAGGCAAAAAAAAAGTAGCCCATGCTCTGGTGAAATGTCCTGGGCTGATGGTGTCTTGCAGAGCTGGGGTAGCTCCTGTCCCGGGCAGGGCTGGGGCTGGTGGAGCGGCGTGTCCTGCAGCCCCACACAGCCACCCCGTGCAGTCACCGTCAGGGTGTGTGGCTGTAACGATCTCAGATGCCCCTTTCTCAGCTCCACGTTAGGATTAGGGAGGGCTCTGGTTCTGTTACTTACCCTTTTTCACAGCATGAATAATCAAAACAGCTCAGCTAACATTTGGTCAGAAATGCTTCAAGCGAATCTAAGATAGGAGTGGGTGTGAAGTCGTCTTTTTGTCTTTTTTTTTTTTTTCTCCTCCGTTAAAAGAGGGGAATTGCCACCAGGGTACACAGTGCTGCCCAGGCAGGTGGCTGCCCGCTACCTGCCCTTGGAGCCTGCTGCTCCAGGCTGGATTTCCCAGAGGAAAGGCCGCTGCTGCCTTTAGACTCTGTCCAGGGGCATCACATTTGCCGAGTTCAAGGTACAGGTTTTGCAAAGTGCTGAGCGCTCCGCAGGGAAGTGTGTGGGGCCTGGGGTGTCGTGACAGCCCCTGGGACCTGCTGCCATCTCTCATGGAACCAGGGACATGGCCCCTTCCCAACTGCTGGTGGCGTCAGGTCGGAGCTGCTGGCGCGAGCTGCCCTGGCTGGCACGTAGGCAGCACGCCGGCTGCGGAGAGTGGGATGCTGCGGGGCTGGGCCAGGCTCTGCGGCAGCAGGGCTTCTGTGACCTTCTCCAGCCTTTGTTTAAACTGGGCAGAAAGGTCAAGTAGCGTCTGAGGACCCATGAATAACATGTTGACAAGCTTGCTGTCTGTTAATGGCAAAGCTAGGTCTGTTAATATTCAATGGATGTTCATTCAGTTTATTTAAATACATTTTAGTGTCTGTAGAGCATGCTTCGCAGTATCTAATCACTGTTTGCTTTGGATTAAAGCTCCTGATAATGAAGCACTTGAGGCGGGTGTACAGAGCAATTGGGCTTTTCCTGCCTTAGGGGTGGCAGTGAAAACAGAAGCACCCCTTCTCTGGGGGCGGCACAGTGCTGCTGCTCCTGCGAGCCCTCGGGGAGCTTCGCCCACGCCCATCAAAACTGTTTCTTCACAGCTTTGGTCTTGATCAGAAACTTCTCGCTGGAGACGGGCAGTTGCTGTGCACTTGCTTTGCTGCTGAGACCCCAGCCCGTGGTGGGTGGGTGGCCATGGGCAGGGCAGAGCCCCCAGCCCAGAGCAGGGCACTGCACAGGGCAGGTGGCTTCACCCTGTCCCAAATCCATGTCCCTGGGGGCAACGGGTGCCCAGGCAGCTCCTAGTTTAGCCCACAGAAGGCAGCTTGCTCAGAAGTCTCTGCTTTCTGTGCTCTAACCAAATGTCACTCTTATCTCCAGCTGCCTCTGAACCTCCCGTCCTTCCCCCTTACCCCAGTTCCCTCGTTGGGTGAAGTGTCACTGTGCGAAAGCTGGAAGCAATAAACCTCCAGTGCACTCGCGTGCATCTGTCTGGTCTCTCGTGCGAAGATAACTCACCTCTGGGCGTATCTCCTTCGACCCTAGGTCCCATCAGCAGCATCCTGGTGAACAAATACGGCAGCCGGCCCATCATGATACCTCTCCGGCTGTGGGCTGATCGCAGCCTCTTTCTGCAACACGGTGGAGGAGCTCTACTTCTGCGTTGGGGTGGTAGGGGGTAAGTGACGGCTCTGCCCTAACGGGGCTGCAGCAGAGGTAAGGCCTCTCCTGAGGCAGCAAGAGCAGACACTTGAACCCAGTGATTATTAGGGAATGTCTGTGGTGAATTTGCTTGAACCCTGATTCCTGTTACGTACTCTAATGAGAGATGGCCCTGGTGGTGTAACGTGGGGAGACCTGCGTGTGGGACTAGTACGTGGTACTGAGAACAGAGAGCATCCGTTGGTCCTGCCCTGGGTCAGGGCTGTGTCCCACCAGTTGACATCAGGTTTGTCACGAGCCGGGGCAGTTCTCCCCTCCCAGCTCACCAGTTCCTGCGTGTGGCTTCGCTCTGCCTTGGCGCCTCCTCCCAAGCCAGCAGCAGGGGCCAAGTGCTGCTCGTGCAGTTGAGAAGTGAATACAGCCAAAACGGAGCTGTGAAACCCCCAGACCCGAAACCCCGCTCATCCCACCAGCCCTCCTGCCATCGCTGCTGGCTTGTGGGGGTGGTTGAGCTCTGAGCCCCTCGTCTCTTCTCTCCTTCAGGCCTTGGACTCGCGTTTAACTTGAACCCAGCCTTAACCATGATCGGCAAGTACTTCTTCAAGAAGCGTCCCCTGGCCAATGGGCTGGCGATGGCGGGCAGCCCCGTGTTCCTCTCCACCCTGGCTCCCGTGAACCAGCTCTTCTTCGGCATATTCGGCTGGCGCGGCAGCTTCCTCATCCTCGGCGGTCTCTTGCTGAACTGCTGCGTCGCCGGATCCCTGATGCGGCCCATAGGCCCCAAGCCGGATCAGCTGAAGAAAGAGGCCACTAAGGAGGTGCTGCAGGAAGCTGGGAAGGCGGTGAAAAAGGACGACGGTGACACCAGCACAGACCTCATCGGTGGGAAGACCAAGAAACAGAAGACCACGTTTTTCCAGACGATCAACAAGTTCTTGGACCTGTCGCTGTTCACGCACAGGGGCTTCCTGCTCTATCTGTCGGGCAACGTGATCATGTTCTTCGGGCTGTTCACTCCCTTGGTCTTTCTCAGCAATTATGCGAAGAGCAAGAAGATTGCTAACGAGTCTGCAGCCTTCCTGCTCTCCATCCTGGCCTTCGTAGACATGGTGGCCCGACCTTCTATGGGACTGGTGGCAAACACCAAGTGGATCAGACCGAGAGTCCAGTATTTCTTCGCCGTCTCTGTGATTTACAACGGGGTGTGCCACCTCTTGGCCCCCATGTCCACCACCTATGCCGGCTTCTGCATTTATGCCGGCTTCTTTGGCTTTGCCTTCGGCTGGCTGAGCTCGGTCCTGTTTGAGACCCTGATGGACCTGGTGGGAGCGCACCGGTTCTCCAGCGCCGTCGGACTGGTGACCATCGTGGAGTGCTGCCCTGTGCTTCTGGGACCCCCTCTGCTAGGTAGGGTGTGCTGCGCCCGTCCTGCCTGGCCTCGCTGAGCGGTGACGGGTCCCCCTGAGCCTTGGGCTGCCCTTGGGACAGGGGCGAGCACTGGCCCTGAGGCCACCCCAGTGTCTGAGGGATGGCCGAGGAAGTGGGGTCTGAGTCCCTGGCACAGGGTGGGGGAGCAGTGGCCGGAGGAATAAGGGCCTGAAGCAGAGGGTGATGGGCTCAGGCTGCTCTTGGGAACATCTCCATCACCTGGAGCAGTTCTGGCGTTACCTTGTTAAGCTGTCCCCTCTCTGTTCCTCAGGGAAGCTCAACGACATGTACGGTGACTACAAGTACACGTACTGGGCCTGTGGGATCATCCTCATCGTCTCTGGGATCTACCTCTTCATCGGGATGGGCATCAACTACCGCCTGGTGGCAAAGGAACAGAAGGCGGAGGAGAAGGTGAGAAAGGAAGGGAAGGAGGAGGAGACCAACATCGACGAGGCCGAGAAGCAGAAAGAGGCAAACAACGATGTGGCCCCCTCGCCTCAGAAGAGCGCGGAGGACGGTGTCAAAGAGGAGGAGAGCCACATGTGAGGGACCGGTCTCAATCCCGGAGTGTCGGGGAAGCGCCGCTGCCCTGGCGCGGCGGCCGGTGCAGTGCTCAGCTGGCGCTGGGCGGCCGTGAGAAGTGTTTAAACCAGGTGTTCATTTTTAACCAGGCTCTGAATTGTCTTTCCATCTGTGTTCAACAAAGGTAACAGGGCTACACACGCAGTATCCTCGTGTGTTGGGGGGCAGGGGGGCTTTTTATAGTCTGGCTTTTTAACAGTAACACGAATGTACTAATACGTGCCTTACAGTCTTCATATCTAGCTGAATCTGGACGAGCCTTAACTCTAAACTGTGCTTTAGCTCTGTATTCTGCTTGGGGGTGGGGGTGTGTATGTGTGTGTTCTGGGGAGTTTTGTTGTTAAAAAGCCATAAAAAGCAGGATACTGTATTTGTTGAAGCGCGATGGGCTTCAGGGCCAGCCCTGGATGAATACTGCTTCACACGCTTCTTACCGCAGGCCCTCCGCGGAGGGGGAGATCCGGGCACGGGGCAGGGTGGTCTTCGGCTCCCGTGCCCGGTGCCTCCTGGCTCTGTAGGTGGTTTTTAGGTATGTTTTGAAAACACTTTAGCTACTGTAGTTCTTTAAAGTCCCTCTTCTGTAGCTGTGCTCTCACGGGATATTAGGGTTGGAGGAGGATGGCTGCGGTTCACATCGGGCAGTGTCCCTCCATGGGGAGGGCTGGGGTCCCCCCCTGCCCCCCGACCCTGCCCTGGCGGTGCCTCTTCTCAGCCCAACGCTGGGTGATGCGAGATGAGTGCTAAGGTGGGGGCTCGGCTGGCGGTGCCGGGTCGGGGTGCCGGCCTCGGTCCTGCCGCGGGGCTGTGCCGCCCACGGGGTGGGTTTCTGCCGGAGCACCCCTGCGCTGATCGGCCCCCCCAGACGGGCGTTTTGGGTGCCTGACCCTGGGCAGAGCAGAGGGGCTGGGTGGGGCAGGTGGAGATGGTACATCCCTGAGACAGGCCTTCTGCTTTCGCTCTTCTATCTCTTAGAGAAACCTCTTTTACTTGCTTCTGTTCAACTGAGACCTTAAGGCAGTGGATGCCTAACCACTCACATCTAGGACACGTAAGGGGGAGGAAAGAATTTGTACGTATTTATTTTTTATTTTTTAGTGTTGGAAAATATCTCAACGTACGTGGAGCAGGTTAATGGCTCTCAAGTTCTAGTAAATGTTGATCAGAAATAATGTAAGAGGCTGAGTTTTTTTCAAATAAACTTGTTTTTTTTACAATTTACCCATCAAATGTTGAAATTATTTCCTAGAGTCATACTTCTGTGTACCAGATGACATATATTTAGGGTCGGTTTTGGGGAGGGGTGAGTGGGGCTGTGGCAGAGCCCGAGTCTCCATCTGCTGCTCCAGCACCCAAAGGCTCCCACTGAGCGGGTCCTGCCGGCTGTGGAAGCTGGTCTCCATCCAGCGAGGGTGAGGTGCCCCTTTCCTACCTCTTCAACTGCAAGAGGTGGCTTTGGTTGGGGATGGCCACAGCTGAGTGTCCCCATGCGCTCTGGTTTTGGAGACATTTCTGTTCCCCTGCCCTTTCCAGGACACCCGTGGAAGCCTTGAGATCCCTCTTTATTGCGAGGGGGGTGGACACATGCTTAAACATCTGTGCACAAGTGAGGGGCAGACTCTCCTGCTGTCCATGTGTCTGTGCTGTCTCCTTCCCCGAGCCTGGCACTGGAGTGGCCAAAGGAGGGGGTCAGTGATGATTTTCCTGATGGAGCTGTCCCGGGGGCCCTGGAGCCCCTGGCGGGGCCAGGCCCTGCACTGTGGCCGCTCTCCTTGTGCTCCCTCGACCACAGGGACACTTTGGGCTTTGTTTCGGTCTAAATCTCACAGGAAGCAGGCCAGGGTTTTTTCATAGTGTAGAGTAACTTTATAAAGACAATAGAGTGTTTTGTACAAAAGGATTTTGTTGTACAGTGCTGAGCTGTGGTACTGGAAAGCCAAGTAATTGTATTTTCATAATTGCTGGAGCTGCAGTAACGGG